AAAAATAAAAATAAAAATAAAAATAAAAATAAAAATAAAAATAAAAAAAAAACCATTTAAAAAAAGTGTATTGTCCTATGTCCCAAAATTAAATTAAAAGTGGCCATTTTACCATCTTGTTAGTTTATGAATTATAATTGAATCTTACTTTGAGTTTTACTGTGGACTTTATCCTTCAAAAATAAGTTAGAAAAATACACTGTCTTACATAAACAAAATTAAAGAAGGTTTTATATGACTACTTAATTCTAAGATAGTTTATAAGTGCTGAGGCTTTCTGAACAGGGGACATCTGCATTTCGGTTGTAAGGGTCCCATCATGTTATCTGGTTCCATTAAAGAAGAAACCTTATCCTATGAATCTTTGGAAAGTATGAACAAGTTGATGCATTACTATGTTAGAATTCTCACCATTATATTTGTTCACAATGCTTTCAGTTCTGAAATAACAGATTTTCCTTTTAGAAATACTTGAAAATTTGAGTGTTTTCAAAGTGCACATAAATGCCTCTGATTTATTCATCTTGCTTCTCTTTTAAAATCAGATGTTTAAGAATAATGTTACTGACCATAAGCTAAACATGGAAGCCATAATTAAAAACATTAACATGATTTCTTTGGAGTTGAAGAAGATGCAAGGTAAGTGTGAAACCACCAAATTAAAATGTTTGCATGCCGTAGTTATAAAACCAACAGTAGAGCCAAATTGTGCTTCTACGGGGATATAACTGAATTTTGCCTACTAATTAGGATTTCTATAATTTTCAGAAATGTTTACACTGTAATATGAACTAGATCTCTAAAGAAAAATTGTGTTTGAGAATTTTCCTGGGAGTTAGCCGACTTGAATTCCCATCCTTGACACTAACAAGCTTATGCTCTTTTCTAACCTCTCTAAATTTACTTCTCTTCCTTCTCTTCAGTAAACTATTGCACGGTGGTGTCACATTCTGCAACATTCATTGCCTCCATCCACTAATCTTTTTAAGCCCCTGAGGTTCCTTCCAAATTAAAAATTATGAATTTGTTTGATTCTGTGAGTTAAGGGTACTTCATTTTAAACAGATTCATAGAGTAGGATTAGACCTTACAGTTCATGATGTTTAGTCATTGACCTCACAGACATTCTCTTATTTTACCCCAGACATGTAGAATTTCCATGATTGAGTATTTTTAGGGACAGTCTATCCCTGACCAAATATTTCCTGTGTTGGAGAACCCCCTATCTCACCAGTTCAGCCTCTTCCTGTTTAGACAGTTCTTCCTTATGGACTAGCTGAAATCTGTTCCCCTCTTCCTTCCCCTGGAAGGGGACCTTCCCCTGGTCCTATTTCTAAATGGGAAACTTCAGTAAATATTTAGTTATTCTTCTTATGATAGCTCTTGGATATTTGAAGATAGCTTCTCTGTAACTGACAGTTACAAGGAATTCAGCTACAAACAACAAAACACCACTTTAATGTGGCTTATACAGTAAGGAAATAAAAGGATCCAAGGTAGGGTAGCCCCAGAATTAATTCAGAATTTTAAAAGCTGCTAAGATAGAAAATGATTTTGTAGATGAGCGTGTCTCATTCTGATAATAGATATTTACCAAGGCATTCACTTATGATTGCTTTTTGTTTAAAAGAAAAAAAACACATAACAAAATAAGTGCCTTATACTATGGAAAACAATAAAATACTCCGTGATCATAAAAAACAAAAAAACAAAAAAAGAATTAAAATTTTTTTTTTTTCCGACGTTTTTATTTATTTTTGGGACAGAGAGAGACAGAGCATGAACGGGGGAGGGGCAGAGAGAGAGGGAGACACAGAATCGGAAACAAAAAAAAAGAATTTTGAAGGCTGCTGCCTGTACCAGGTTCTTTCCCTTTTCCTGCTCTGTTATGTTCACTCTGTGTATCACTTCTAGTCATTACCTCCAGGTGTGGCCATCCACAGACACCATATCTGCCCATGTCTCTATAAAAGCCTTTTCCCAGATCCCTTCAGCATGTTTTCCCTTTCCTTTCATGGCTGGATTTGTGTCAAATGCATGTGCTTGCACTGGCCACCGTCAAGGGGAATGGGACTGCCAAGACCAGTTTGGACCCGTCAAGACTTACTGTTGGAGATGGGGTGAGGATCACCTAAATGGAATCAAGTTGTGCCACCAAGAAGAAGGAAATGGTTGTTAGTCAGGCACCAAATAGTGAGTGCCTATTATGTTTTCTTCTGCGCGTTCTTCCTAGGGCAGCATTTCCCAGACTTCGATCTGTGAACCCTCCTGTCTCAAGACATATTAATAGGTGTTGTGCAGTAAGAACAGAGTCCATGTTCTTAGGGTCAGATACATTTGAGAAGTGCTTTATGCTGTATATTTCTTTCCAAAATTCATAGTACAAAGGCTCTGAGGCATCTGATCTAAAGAAATCTGGTTGTCTTTGCTTCATTCATCATCTCTTGAAACTAATCTCAATGATACAGCAAGAATTTTCTTTCTAAAATGTGACTCATTAGCTCACTCTTGCCCCACAATAAAGTCCAGACCTTCTAGAATGGACTATAAGACCTCTTGAGATCAGGCCCCTGCCTACCTCTCCAGTATCTTATTCTTTTATCCCAGCACACTGTGCTACGGCCATACTGAAGTGTTTGCACATCTACACAGTTCCTCTTTTTTCGTGTCTGTATCTTAACAGATGCATCTTCTGAAATGCCCACTGCTCTACCCCCACCTCCACCCCACCAGGTTAACTGCTACTTATTAGTCAAGGTTACTTACATTGGAAAAACTTTTTTAAGCAAGCGTGTTATCTCTTACCTTTTCATATTACCTGTCACACTGTGTTATAATTGCATGTTTACTTACTTTTCCTGTCCCTGCTCAACAGTAAGCTCCTTAAGGGTATTCCTGGCAATTAACACAGTGCCTTGATATAATAAGTTCTTGGAAATGTTTATTAAATGAATAATTGTTTTCTGGATGCTTGCCCTCATTTAAAACAGAGAAGCTTTAGGGGCACCTAACTGGCTCAGTGGGTTGAGCATCCGACTTCAGCTCAGGTCATAATCTCATAGCTCGTGAGTTTGAGCCCCGCGTCGGGCTCTGTGCTAACAGCTCGGAGCCTGGAGCCTGTTTCAGACTCTCTGTCTCCCTCTCTCTCTGCCCCTCCCCCACTAGTGCCATGTCTCTCTCTGTCCCTCAAAAATAAATAAACATTAAAAAAATGTTTTAAACAGAGAATCTTTAGATTTCTCTCCAACTTGATTATCTAACTGTTCTACTTTGGGGATTATTCTTTTGTGAAGTAAAATAGAACTTTAGTTCATATTTTAGTAAATATGATGGTTGTGTTCCTGAGAAGCTGTGGGGTAGGTCAGGCAGTTAGGATATGGGGACTTGCAGAGCTAGAGTACTTTTGGGCGGACTTCTAGTAAACATGGAAGATTAAATGAACAACATTCCTTTCAGCCACACTTCCTTCTCTAAATAATAATGTCAGTAGCTGACACATAACATTTATTATAATCCAGATACTTTTCCAAGAGCCCTGTATAAACAGATTCAATTGTCATTACAACCTTGTGAGGTAGGAAATTCTACCATTGGCATTTATGGCTACAGAAACAGGTAGAGAAGTTAACTAACTTTCCCAAGGTCACACAACTAGTCACTAGTAAACTTGAGATTTAAATTTAAAGTGATTTTAAAGAGACAAAAATCAGCAAGGAAAAGAGCTCTCAAAAAAAGTTAATAGTGAAATAGAAAGCAAGTTGAGGTAAACAGAAAAGTCTGAACCCAAATGTCCAAAAATTTGAACTGTGAGCTGGCTGGGTAAAGCCAATGAATGACCCCAAAGACTCAATACATGGTGGCACCAGAATCCTCTGGAAGTAGGGGTAGAGGTGGAGCTAAGGACAGGAAGGCTGGTTAAATGTTTAAGAAGTTGTAGACCCCTAAGTTCTCTTCCCTTCTCTGCATAACTAGGCAACTGTTCCTTTTCTAGGACAAAAAACTTGAAGCTTATTCCCTAAGAGGCTCTCTGGCCTGGAGCCACTAGCCACAAGTTGAAGGAAAGAGTATTATACTGAAAACAAGGGTATTAGGACAAAGTTTACATATTGAATTATAAGACCCTCTAGCTTTCTTTTCCCACTTGGCTACAAAACCTTGGCAGCCAGATTTATGCCCTCAAGCAGATTTTTCTTTCAGGAATCTGACCAGTCTAAAAGAAGCAAACAAACAAACAAACAAAAACAACTAAAGGTACTGATAGCAGAAGTTCCCCCCAACAAAATACCCAGCCAGCTCACCTCCCAGTATAGCCTACCATAGGCACAGAGTTTCCAGTAGTCTTTAGTGCCATAGTCTTAAATATGAGCAGATAGCTCTGATGGAATAGATACTTAATGGAAGCATCTAATATGAAAAGCAGAGACAAAGTCAATACATAGATTCAGTCAATGAGGAAGACACAGAAATCATGAAATGAGATGAAAACTCCCAAGAAACTGTCAATAGCTAAAGGGAAGTAAGAAAAGATGCTGTGTCCATGAAACAGGAACATGATCCTAGGAAAAATAGTTTAGAGAAGGGAATTCTTGGAAATTAAAAGTGCGACAGTAGAAATAAATTCTGTAGAAGGGCTTAAAGATAAAATGAAAACAATCCCCTAGAGTGTAGAGCAAAACAATTATAGATGGAAAGTTATAGGGAGAAAAAAATGATAAGATCAGTCAAGGAAGTTCAACATTCAGTAGATAGCAGTGTTAGAAAGGAAGAACACAGACAGTGCATGGGGAGGAATTCATTAAAGAAATAATCTGAGAAAAATGTAAAAAGCTGAAGGAGAGGAGTTTCTATAATGAAAGAGCCCAACACAGTGGTTGAAAGTAGACCCCCAAGGTACAATACTATGAAATTTTGTTCTGGAAAAACAGATCCTTGAAGTTTCTAAAGAGAAACAATGATTAAGAACTAAAATCATGAAAATTCTCACAGCAACACTGGAAGCTAGAAGAAAATGTGGCAAGGCCTTTGCAAATCTGAAGAAACGGGGCGCCTGGGTGGCTCAGTCGGTTGAGCGTCCGACTTCGCTCAGGTCACGATCTCACGGTCCGTGAGTTCGAGCCCCGCATCAGGCTCTGTGCCGACAGCTCAGAGCCTGGAGCCTGCTTCAGATTCTGTGTCTCCCTCTCTCTCTGGCCCTCCCCCCATTCATGCTCTGTCTCTCTCTGTCTCAAAAATAAATAAATGTTAAAAAAAAAAAAATCTGAAGAAACATGATTTCCAATCTAGATTTCTATAGTCACTATTAAGCATTGGTGTAGAGAAAGAAATTTTCACACATAAGTTTTCCGCCTTCAGGAAGTTACTGAGGTCTTATTCCATCCAGCAAGGTAGCAGACCAAAAAGAGAAAGAAACGAAATTCTGGAAAAAGGATACTCCACACATGGGAGGGGTGAAAAGAATCTCTGGGGTAGTGGTGAACGGAGTTGAGCAGTCCAAGAGAACAGTCCAGACCAGAGTAGATCAGAAGGCTCTAGGAGAAGATAGACTTTTCAACAGTTGGACAGCTAAGGCATCTGACTATACCAAAAGGAGATCTGCACAAATATATTTGGAATATATTTATGATAATTAAGTAATGAAAAAAAATTAACCGTGATTGGGTGGTACCATGCAAGAAGGGAAATGTACTGCAAAGTTCAGCTGTGAAGCATATTTATATAATCAAAAATTTTTAACCTTTAAATATTGAGCTAGCAAAAATTGTATTCTTAAGTACTCTCTAGGGGAGTGGGGGTGAGTGAAAAGAGCTGTATCGTAATCTTCTGTAGTCAGAAGCAGGTAGATAATACCTACAATTGAAAAAATAAAATATACATGTCATTTAGAGATACGGAGGCAAATACCAACCTGCCCTCAAACAAAGCCAGAAGACACTAAATACAGACACACACAACAACAAAGCAAGAAAAGCAATATAAGCAAGAAGAAAAATTAAAAGTGGTGGCCTCTTGGAGATACAAACTATTTTTTGTAACATGCCTTATAGATCTATTTGATTCTGTATACATATATAGCATAAAAATAGTAAGTTTAAAAAAAGCATAAATCAAATGTGTATAACTCAAGTTTCAGTTTAGTAAGATAGTGTACAAGTTGAACTAAAGAGCCTGCTAGCTAATTTTTATGTCATGCTTATTTTATAGTACATAAATTTGACTTTGTCATAATGGGGCATAGTTAATTGTGGTCCGATCAATAATCACTTAGGAGAAAACTCAAGAATGAGAAATAGCTACTAAAAGTAATAATAGGGGTCCCTGGCGGGCTCAGTCGGTAGACCATGCAACTCTTGATCTTGGGGTTGTGGTTCTGAGCCCCATGTTAGGTGTAGAGATTACTTAAAAATAAAATCTTTAAAAAGAAAGTCATAATAGTTGTCTCTGATGTATGTGCTCCAAGATAGTATCTTCTATTATTTTGTTTTACACAGAGCTCTCCCAGTTGCTGCTTTGTGACCTTACTTTACATTTTAATCATCCTCTGAAGACAGATGACTTAGAGGAAACAGAAGGAAAACCGCCCCTCTTTGATGAATCTAAAATATCAGATGTGTCCTTTGCTTCTAACAGCTTTTCTGTCTGATTTCTTTTTGTTTGTTGTGAATTTATAACTATTTATTGTGGAATTAACACATATCGGGGAGAATTAAGTTTACTAATATATTTAATATGATAAAAACAAAATAAAAATATGAATTGTAAATAATCATTTAATAATCTTGAAGGCTGTTTTATTGTTTTAATGTTTCAAGGAATGGCTATTTCACTAGTGACAAGAGTATAACATAGGAAATTGGCCATGGGGCATTTCTTATCCTTTATTTTATGCTTGAATTTGGCTCATTTTGAAAGAGAGTTAACCAAATTGTAAGCAGATGGAAACAGAGTTTGTATTAATCAGATCTCTCCTGGTAACAAATGCCAAAAACAGCTCAGGCTAACTGAAGCATTTATTGGGTCATGTGGTTTGGAAGTCCACATGGTTGAAATAGATTTCAGGGACTCTACTAATTTACCGCTTGTCTGTAGCTTGGTTCTAGTTCTATGCATTGACCTCATCCTCTTCTGTTATAGGCTGGTCTACATATGGCAGGGAGAAGAGGGTAGAGGCATGACAGGCGACATGATTCACTACCAAATCGTTGCTTTGGAGTCTACTACCTCCTTCATTGTAGAGATTTTCAAGCATAAAGGATAGCGTACCATAAAGCATGACGCAAGGTCAGCTCCCAGTGTCTGCTATCCTCACCACCCAGCTCCTTGTTTAACATAGAATAGGCACTAAATAAATGCTTGTTGAAATCCTCTTGAGTAGACTTGTATATGAATGCAGATTTTTCAGCTTTAGAACTCCCAAGCTGCAGATCCTAAACTGAGAACTCCCAGTTTGTAAGGATGAAACTTGATGAAGAAACATTATCATCATCATACTTGTTATCTTAGCAAACCATCAGTTTTACCCACGTGACTTCCACGCCCCCTTATGTTCTATTAATTAGCTTATGAAAATGAACATGCAGGATACCTTTTGCCACTCGAAAACTCATAGATGAAGCAGAGAAGGCAAGAATTTTTGTTGTTAATAAAAGTTGTGGAATAATAATCAAGGCCCCAAAGGGGAAAACTTGAAGAACAACCGAGTGCCTGGTTTTTGTTGTGCTAAACACCTACTACTGTGTGTTAAGTGAGATATGTAAGCTGAAGCCAAGAGCTGAATTGCTTCAAAGGATTTATAAAGCCTTTTTAGGAAGGATGATGAGAAGGGCTTTATGGTAGAGTTGTCAGGGGATAAAAGAGATAGAAGAAAGGCCTCTAATAGGAAAGTCTGATCACATTTTTCTGTGTATATGCATTGCTCTTTCATCTTTGCAGTAAGACTTTGGTAAAATCCGCATCACTTGAAAATGTTTTTGGAGTTGTGGGAGGTGCAGGGGTGGTGGGGTGTGAGTGTCGGTATATGATGAACTTACATCAGATCTATTTGACACCCAAGCCTCATCTCTAAATGTAAAATGATTTCTTCTGGTATTTGTAGCTTAAGTTTTCTTTAAAACTAAAATGCAAGAGCAGGGCCTAAACAGAGTTAATAGTTTTAGGGACACAGAAGTAAAGCAAAAGGTAAATTCATTTTAATCCTAGGAAGTTATCCCATCATGCATTTACCTTTTCATAAAAAAGTACACAAAAATCCCCCCAGCAAAAGACACCAAATAAGAAAGAATGAAATAGTTTGAAGGCTCTTAAGTTATTGCTGCCGAGAAAGTGAATTTTAGAAATTTTCAAATTATATATATAAAACCCATGATTGCCTCCGACTAACAAAGGTTTGGCTATAAAAAAAATCAGTTTTATGTGATACCAAAAACTATTTGTTGCAGTGTTTTTAAACTTGCTCCAAATTATTTCTGTCACCGTGTAAACTACTGTACTTCGAAACGGGTATTCCAAAATACACATTTTTTAAATGAGTTATTACAGGCCCCTACTAGACTTCAAGTGTGAACATCATGCACTTCACAAACATTGAAGAAGAATAAATAAATTAGGAGATATTTGACAGTCTTCATTTCAAACACTTTTTTATGCGAAAGGTCAAAACGCTGTGTTCACGTTGAGGGGTTCGATCCAGTCCTAAGTGTTGGTCCCTTCAGCAAGGTTGACTGATCTTCCCCTGATGGCAGCATAGCCAGGAGGAAGCTTCCTCGTCGGCTTGGCTAACTTGCTAGGGATAACCTGCAGAATGCGTTAACGTGCACTGGTATCTGGAGCCTCGGTTTTTCCCATCAATGAGCAGAAGTGGCATTTTCCTGAAGTAGTCGATGATATCTGACACAGACAAAAAGTCCTAAAAATTCAAAATAAGGAGATAAGTCAACGTTGGAATGAGTAGAGAAGCCAAGCATTTGAATTTCACTCTCAGTTTGTTTGTTTTTTTTTTTATCTGCATAAGATCCTACCTCTTCAGTTATGAGGATGGCGAGGAAAAATATGTAAAATTTGGCAAATATTTTCATGATTTCTCTACAGAACTTTGAAAAAATAATTTTTCAACATCCAACAAATTATGGATAAAAGACAATGTAAATATTTGTGTGTATGTATATATGTATTTTAACTTCATGGGGGTCATAAATATATAGGAGGTCTAACTGTGATACCTCTGCCTTAGAATTGCTCTGTTTGTGTTTTTGATTTTGGTTTCTGTATCCCTACTTCACTCTTAATCACTAATAGTGGGAGGAGCTATAAGGAATCAGGAGGGCAGACAGTGTCCCAGTGTCTGGAGGTGATAACCTGTAGCATTGCACAATGGTTCCTACAGGATCTCTCTGCTGTGCCTTCACTGTCATCTCTACACTCCCCAGGACTCTGCAGCCAAGTCTGCACACCCATTGACTTTATCACGTTATCCCTGATGGCCAGGCTGGAATAAAACCCATCGAGCCTCCTAGACATGGGTCAGAATCACATCGGATCCCCAGACAGGATTATGCGCTTCCTCCAAGACCACTCTGCTGGATGCCGCCTTCCAGGGCTGCAGGCTGTGGTGAGCGCTTCTGTTTTTCCACACCAGACCGACAAATTCTGGAGGGCAGACATCTATCTCTCTGCTTCTACAGCAACGATGCAGCTCTAGCCACACTGAACTAGTGATTGAAACATTTGACCAGAATCACATGTTTTTTTCCACTCATTTACATGATCATAACTTTGGAGTAGAGTCTAAGGGCTAGCTGTTTTTCATCCTGGAAATGTTTGATTCGACTGATCCTCCTCTTGGACCTTTGAACTTAAAGAACATGTTTGGGGCTTAAGTTTAGCTGTTAGCTTCCTTGCAGAAGCGGTTTTTTTGATTACCATCCAAAAAGTAATTAGCATAAACATTGACCAAACAGAGGAAAATTTCTTTCAAGTGAGAAATGACCCAAGTATTGAAATAATCACCACAACAAGAATTCCATTTTTTTTTACTCTTTTCCAGATGTCAATTTTAAAATACAGCCTTGTAAATACGCTGCAATCTTACATTAAAATTATGTTACAGAGGTGAATGAAAGAGGGGCCTTATCTCTGATACCATCTAACTGTATATTTTTTTAATTTAAATGTTAATTTTTTTAATTTTAAAACTTACATATGTGATTTTAGACTAGTTGGAATAGAAGATATAAGAAAGACTCCATGGTAGACGTAACTATTGTTACTTTGTTTTATTTCCTTCCAGTAAAGGAAGGGCTTCACCAATGTGATTTAACTCTGTAAAGTTGCGGGAGAGTATGAACCCCCAAAGAATGTTACAGCAAGTTTCCATAGAGGTAGGTATGCAGAATAGCATAAACAAGGATTTGGGTATATTTTACAACTGAAATTCCTTACCTCTTTACCTCGGAGTCCAGTTCCCAACAAGTAAACTTGGCTTTCCTCTTGGTAACGGATCTGGATGTTGTAAACTTTATCTTTGTACAACACCATGAGGACATACGGATTGGTTATTGTTTTTTTAGAGCTGTCTCTAACGAGAAAAGTGCCATCCTAAAAGAATAAATTCTTATTATTACGTGAGCAATAAATGGCAATACTTCTGTTGCCTGTAAGAGCAGTAGACAAGCCTCGAGAGATCTGGAAACTTACCAGTTGCCAAGACAGTGAACATTTAGTGCCCTGAACCGTTACAGCCCATGTGTCACAGATTTCTTGGTTGTCAAGAGGCAGCAAAGATTGTATCAGAGAAATTTCCAAATTCCAAAGAGACTTTTTGAAGTCTCTTGATAAAAAAGAAGTCGCTTTTTTTTTTTTCAGTTATAAAACAAATTATAGGTGGTTGAGTGGACAAAGGGCCAGACAAAATAAGGACTTTATTGGTTAACTAAAGATTTATCTTCCTACTCCTGGGAACTAATTCCCTAACCCTTACTTTCCACAGCCAAAGTCAGAAAACACCCAAATGCCTATGACATTCATCCATTTTAAAACCTCGTGATCTCCACATAAAATGTTCACCATTAAATATCTGAACATAAACAAATGTGAACTGTCTTGTGTTCTTATCACCTTTTTTTCCTATTTACTGAAAGTGTGATTTGTCCTGTACTTTAAAATGTCATTCCATAAATTATTGTACATAATACTAATACTGTAAAGATCTAATATTAAAATAGGATTAATCAGTAAGGCAGTGTTTAAACCACTCCCTGCTTTGTATACTGAATCATGATGGCTTTAAAGAGCCTTCAATCTGCAATAATGGCTTTCCTTTGTTCTTCTTATTCCAGTTGAGTAAATTCCATTCAGAATATCTTCTGTTCAACAAATACACCTGTGGACCAGTGATTCACAGCCTAGAATTTAGAATTTAGAGTTTTGGAGACCCAGAACCCACACAACATGCCTGACTAAATAAATCAGAATCTCTCCAGGTGAAATCCAGGAATCAGAATGTTTAAAGTTTCTCAGGTGACTTAAATATGCAGCGAAGATTGAGAACTATTCTTACAGACTCAAGATGTGAGAGATGAAGGATCTTTACTCTTCTTTCTCTGATAAATAGATTTAAGGTTAAGATTCGGTGCCAGATCACAGGAA